GAGTTCGAAAAGATCCTAGAATCTTTTTCATTGCGGTACTTTTGACAAATATTTTTAATCGGCTATCGCTATTGTATGATGGTGATTGAATGATAACAGGTAAGTGTGACGAGTGGACGAATAGCGAGAATTGTACATTAGTAACCTTGACGCGATGTCTTATCACTTAAACATAATTTTTGCTCACTTGAAAGATTGGGAGACATCGCGCACTGCACAAACAGAAAAATATTATTGATCACACCAAGACGAGGAAATTTTTGTTGTTCACTGCTAGCGAGAGATTCAAATTTAATTTCAAGTTATCGATCAATGGTCGGGATCAATAAAACGGGTCAACCAGAAAAAGAGAACAATAAGAGCTCAATCAAAGTCGTCAACGAGTAAGTAAAAAACGAGTAAAAAACGAGAGATGAAAGGATTTGTATGAAAATCTCTCTAGAAAACTTTTCTTTCCAGCAAAATCATCAAAAAAATTTGTATGTCGTCCGTACTAATGTAAAAAAGAAAAAGAGAAAATCAAGTTAAAATTGAAAATCACATAAAAGATTATTAATAATTTAATATCACTCGTAAAATCAAAGTTTTTAATTTAAAAATAACCTTGGAAGAACAACTCTTTTTGTCTCTTCTATCTTTTTAATTATTTTACGTTTACATTTACACATAGTATTATGTTAAAAAGATTATTTCTTTTTATTTCTTTTAAAAGATTATTTCTTTTTATGATAAATAAGGTGATCGGTACGTTCAATACGTTCAATAAATGACCTTAAAAATGAAACGATATCGTGAAACCTAGTGAATGTCTTACTCCAAGTGCCGTTACACTTTCGCTTTACTGTCTACAACACGTGGAAAGTATACGCGTTCACTTTCTATCGCGGTCATCGCAATAGTCGGCTCGTCGAAAATAAACAATATTAAAAAGTAACATTAATCTAAATAAGGTCAATAATTCAATATAATTAATTTTAATAATAAATTGGAATTATACATATTCTATTATACACGCTCTACATCATGTCTATTTATTTCTCAAAAACCGTAGAAAAAATGAATTAGTAAAAATTTTCAATTCTAATTAATTAAACAACAAACTTTCCAAAATTAAATATTACGCAAATTTATCTAATTTTATTATATTATTGATAAATACAAATTTATATCTTTTCTTTTGTTATTTCAGTAAGCCGTATTTTATCGAGAAGAGAGGTTATTGATTTAATCCGTGACCCAATTTCACGATAATTGATCAATCTCAACAACAAAAGATTTGTGCACAAAAATAACGTTCACAATGTTATTAGTCAACTTCATCGATAACTGTTAACAAATCGTGTGTGTGTGTGTGTGTGTGTGTGTGTGTGTGTGTGTGTGTGTGTGTGTGTGTGTGTGTGTGTGTGTGTGTGTGTACACTTACGCACATTTCTAAGATCGTGAACAGTTCCGAATGCTGAGTATTGATTAATTCAGCAAAAGCCAAAATAATTTTTATTGTGCAAACAATAGAAGAACAGAAGAAGATTCTTTCGACGTGATTAGCATTGTGTTAATTTACGTTGATTATTTTAAAAGATAATTAATAATTGAATGATGGAAAAATTCGCATGAAAGTGTCAAATAGCATTGCCAAAGCAACGTAGCTATTGAAATCATATAAAATGTCAAAGTTTGCGTAATAAAGTCCCACTTTTCGTAATGGAAAAATGAAATATCGAAGAATACTTTCAAAATTGAACGATATGGACCGTCTGTTTAACTGTAGTGCCTCTCCGCATTGCGTCTCTTCGAATGTGTCCGTTGCGGATGCGATTGTCTGAATAAATTAAATTTTCGAACAACAAGTAGTTTAAAAAAAAAGAAGAGAATTTATTAATGTACAATGTACATGTAATTTTGTTTATTCCATTCAATGTTCCATCTTTTGATCGAAATATATGTATCAGATTCCCAGATCAGATAACGTGTATATAGAAACTCTCTCAATCGAAAACAATATAGATCAATAATCGCGCAATTAATTAACAATCAATTACGATATCGATCGCATTTTTTCGCAGATTTTAGACACGCGAACGTGGCATATTTCGTTCACTCTTCACACTTTATTCCACTCCAGAACGATAACAATAATAACAACAGTATGTATAAGTAGTATGACGATAACGATGCGCTTACTACCTCTTCGCGGAAAATGGACGCTTTGCGTTTCGCTCGACGCCGGCGTCACAGCGACGGCGACGGCGACGGTCCGCGGCAGTCTGACTTTCGATTAATCGGCCGATCCCGCCAGCTCGACACGCCACTCGCTGGTCGACTCGGAGGGGCAATCCCCGCCAGAATCCGACCTTTCCATCGGATATCTCTTCGAGCACCCCTGTGTCATTAAACCACCTCTCGCGTTTTGCTCCCCACACCCCACATTTTGCGGAACAACCATTGTAAGGAAAGAAATATTGGTGGGAATATATCGCTTATATTAGGAATATAGGGTTAGGAATATATGTCTAAAGACCGTTGAACTTTTAGATCTTTTATTCCATTTTAAATCGATTTTTCCTTAATTAAATTTTAATTTAATTAAAATTAAAATTGAGGTTATGAATACGTTTTACAAATTTCCTTTCAAATTTCCTCATTGTGAGTAGAATAGATTTTATATATTAAAAAAATGAATGTTTGTAGACTTGTAATTTTTAAATAAGATATACAATTATTAAGTGCAAGTGTAAAAAAAACACTCGAAAAATTGGTTTAGCGTACAAATTATATGTCTTTTAAAATCAAATACTTGAATTGATAGTCGCTAATGTATTTTTGGAAATGTGAGATAAAAACAATTTCTTTCTTTCTTATAATTCTGATAATGTTCTCTCTCTCTCT